CGTTTTATTTTCCTGACGTTTTGAATTCTGTCGAGGATCCTTAATTATACGTAATAGTAGGATAGTCTGAGGCATGCGCTCATGGTTCTAGTGCTGCGGTTATCTGGTCTCTAATCGTCTACCTACTGAATTCTCCGAAATAATTTGTCGGCCTTGGCCGTTTGTGCAGTTTCGTCTGCGCTGTGCGCAATCGCCCCAAACCACCCCTTGCTTTCTGTTTGTATTCTCCGAGTCGGCTGTTCTCTTCTTAGTCAAGATGATTTACTTCATCAGGAAAACAGTGACTGCCGTTAGAACAGCTTTTTGGTTTTTCCAAGAACTGGTCTCTTAAATGACTCAACTTCTCTGATTCTTACCAGGTGTCATTGAAGTAACGCTTCCTCGCTCTAGCCGCGCAGTTACAGCGCCCATGCATAGTTTATGACCTTCGTGTGACCCGCAACGTGCTGACCTTTTGCAACCCGGATTACGGCTTCGTCCTGCTATTTTTCTGATGTTTTGTTACGGGCTCGAATGTTATGTGACCCTGAAGAGAGTCTTGGCTGTTAGAACTGCTGTGAAAGGCTGCTCTTTTCCATTAAGGAAGTTCGGGCGATTGTCTTGCAGTGTATGTTGTCGTTCGCTAGAACGAATACCCTGCGTTACTGCAATATTTTCAACTGTGCACCATACACGCAGTCATTTTGGCTAAATTGCGTTTGGGAATTCTAGGGTAGTACGCAGCCCGTCTAATTCAGTTGTGGAGTATTGTTCCTGGTGAGCTCTGAGTTCCCGTCCTGTCGGATTGTGTTTATGGTTAGGGTTATGTATAACGAAACTACAGGATCGCGTTAGCCTTTTCTTGTCGTCCCAACGTGCTGTAACCTTCCCCTTTGCCTGAGCCTACCTGACCTGCGATTCGTTACATTTCCGTAATCACGATTAACCTTTTGCCTATTTCCTCCACCCATTAAACCGCTCTTACCACCGGTCTCGTAAGACCCAAGACTAGGGCTAAGCCTATGTAAGGTGCGCTCCCAACGAAACCTCTACCGTAAATCTGACAGGATGGGAACCCAAAGCTCCCAGGTCTGGTGATTAATGCGAGGGCCTGAATTATCAATGATTCAACATCGCCCATTTTTCCCTGTACTTACTTCCTAACTGGGACAATTTGATGGGAATTGCTTATCTGGCTTCCCTCTCGCCCCTCTCGATAGGACGTGGGGGACAGGAACTCCTCCCCCCATCTTCTAGTGGTCGCGTTGCACTCAGCTCCAGTGAGGCTCTTATTAGGGTTTGGTTTAGTGTGTCTTGTCGGGCACTAGCTGCATTAGTAATTTTGACAGGCCATTTTATACCGGCTGATTGATCACCGAACCAAAATAAAACCGTTTCCTAGCCAACGACGACCGCGACCATGACTGCGTTTTGTGTCTTTTCTGGCATACTCTTGCACAACCGCCGTGTTTTCCGCGTTGGTAGGCAGACTGCCTGCCTCCGGTTAGGCTTTTTAACCCCCCTCCCCCCTTCCTTCCCCTAACTCTCCTTGTACACCTAGGGCTGCCGAGCCAACAAAGGAGTCAAGGCCCCGGGCGCTTACTACTACGAGACAACAGTTCTAGAGGATGGTCCGGTACGTGTCGGTTGGGCCACCAATGGTGCCTCCTTGAACCTTGGTGAAGATGATCTGGGCATCGTTTTTGGCACCGAGGACGGTTCCACCCGCGGTCTCGTCACTTTCAACGGTGATCAGTTTGATTTCGGTGCAGAAGTGAGGAAGGGTGATGTGATTGGCTGTTACATAGACTTCGATCACGGTGTTGCCACGTGGAACTGCAATGGAGCCGAGGGGGCACAGCCTGTACGTATACCCGACCGACTCCTCAACGAATCCTTCTTCCCGGGTAAATTTCAGCCATTTTCCGTAACTATTTGTTTCCTTTCTATCCAATGTTGACTAAAAAGTTATTAGGTTTAGTTACTGTTTGTTACTTGGCTAATACGACGTATATTTGACGTTTATGCGCGCTTAGAGTGACGGCATTTTGGCTTTATAAATGTGCCACTTTTACACCCTCCTTTTAATTATTATAAAGATATTCTCGTTTCTGTTTACGCATCCCTCTTTTTTACCGGATTCTGCCACAAAGGCTGATTTCTTAGTCGATTTTGTCGCCTGTCGCAATCAAATTCTTCCAATCACTATTCCTTCTCATCAGCTCAACGTTCTAAAGACCCACATAACTGGCTTTCGCCCTCAGTATGTTAAACAGCTGTAGTTAGCGTTATTCATGAAATGTTAAGCGATATTCTGAAAAGTGTTTTTTTTTAAATATTACTTAGATGGATTTTCGATAGCGATTATTATGCAGCGCAGTCCCAAGATGGTTTAGTTGCGACAAGATGCTGGCTTTCGAATGCGTCTCGCATAAACCACGTTTTAAAAGGCCTGGCGAATTAACATGAATAGGTTTCCGAAGGCGAGTTTGGTGAGTGTACCAATATAATTTCGATAAGGTTTCGGCAGGCCTGTACATTTATGTGGAAACAGGGTGCAAGTTCAAACGTGTTCGTCTTTTCGGACGAGTCGTGGGAATGGGGTGGAGTCGATAAGAGAAGTCTGGTTTTAGGGGCACGGCTTGGTGGAGCAGTCTAGAGGAGAGAAGGAGACCAACAGAGCGCGGATGGCTGCATGCGACTGACTGTGGGCCACGACAGCTGTGGAGCTTGTAGGAAGTACTTTTGTGCACACAACGCGTACTACATCAGCCTGATAGCGGTCGCTTCTGCTGTTGCTAGCAGGTGCTCACCCAGGGACTTTGGATAATTTGTGGGACCTTTTAAATCACTTGGAAAGTTTTGTTGGGGTTCACCCGATGTCCGGAATCGACCATGTGTGCCAGAATCGAGCTGTTTATGCTCCTGACTTCACTTTTTCTCAGCCATACCGGGAGATGTTCTTTTATTTCTTTGGATAGGCGCCGAACAGTATTTATTGGCTTTCGATGTCCTATTAAATCCAAACATATTTTGTAGAAAGCTTGCAGGTGAAATACCCTTTCTTCCACTTTACAGTCAACGAAAAGTTACTTTTCGGTGTAACCAGTTTTGTGATTGGGAGATATTTTTCAATCTTCGAAGCTCTATTCAAATAGCACCTAACCTATGTGTATACTAATCCTCCTTATGAGGTATGCAACGTAGTTCATCTCCATTGCAAAATATTATAATTCCTTAGTGATATCTTCGTCAAGACATAACGTAATGTGTCACGCGGGTGTCACGTCACCACAACCCTTCCACCCAATCCCCCCTCCCCCCCCCGTC